TCTCTGCTGCTGTCTGCAGTGCTGGCCTTGCTGTTTCCTCTCCTCTTACCACATCCTGAGCTCTACTTTCCTTCCTTTCATTTAGAAAAAGGACCTTCTTCCCCATGCACTTACCTTCCATTAGCTGTCTAGATAGCCAAGACCTTCCAACTCAGGCTCCCTCCCAGGCTCCTCCTCGCCACCTTCTGTGACACTGACCTGTCACTCATGTCACTGCAGGTTCACCCTTCACACTGAGCACACCCAGTGCTCCCGGACCACTGGTTTTCACTGCCCTCAGCCCTGACTCACTGCAGCTCAGCTGGGAAAGACCCCGCAAGCCCAATGGGTCCATCTTGGGCTACATGGTCACCTGTGAGATGCTGCATGGAGGAGGTACAGTATCAGGCTGTGGAAGCCCAGTTCCCTGTGTAGAGCACAAGATACCTCCGCCAAAGGCAGCTGCAGTTTTGTAGGGACCAGAAACAAAGTTGTCTGCTTAATCAGTGCAGATAAAGTGGGGACATGAGGCTGATCCCAGGCCTGGAAGCTGTTGGACCCTGATGCTTTGTGTCACTGCATGGTCTGGTGCAACAGATGTGGTGGGAAGAGGAAGGACCTGTAGCTTATTACAATCCAAACCCAGTGGAGGTTGTTTGTTGAGGATCACCACCATACTAAAATAGTATTGTCTTAACCCTTAGTAGAACTGGGTGTGATCATACGGGGGGAGGTGGGGTGGTGTGGTATAAAGCTTAGGGAAAGCCAAGACAGCAGCCAGAGTTGGGGGGAGTGTGTTTGGAGGGACTGTCAGTCCTGCCTGTCTTGACCACTGATATGTCTGTGTGGATTAGGGGAGCCCAGGAATATCTATGTCGAAGGAGACAATCCAGAAACTACCCTGACTGTGCCCCACCTGAGTGAGAATGTCCCGTATAAGTTCAAAGTGCAAGCCAAGACCACCCAAGGCTTTGGACCAGAGAGAGAAGGCATCATCACCATTGAATCTCAGGATGGAGGTACCGTACCATGTCTTTGTGGAGGTGCAAAGATAAGAAACCTTTCAGAGAAGGGAACACAACCCCTGGAGTCCCTTTCCAGCTCTGCTGGTGACTCCATTTTCCATGGAAGACATGGAGACATTGTCTTGTGAGGACAATGCTGTGCCTTGTAAGCACTGTCCCAGTCCCACTGAATGTGGGAGGATCGTGAGAACATGTCAGTGTTTAATTTATTACAAAACTTCTGTCTTATGCCCAGTTATACACATACCTGGAAGCAGTTTCTTACACTGCACAGGTGTAAAACCTTCCCAGTCCTCCCAGTTCCTCCTAAACCTGGCTCTGAGAAAGCTCCTGAGCTGACTGTTGTTGCAGTGAGGGGATTGAAGCTCCTTGTTGTTTCCTGGCTGATTTGTCCCTTTTCCTTCTCCCCAGGCACTTTCTCCCAGTTTGGAGGACAGCAGTACATGAGAGAAGAAGTGTACAACTTCCCCACCGAATACACCACCAAAACCAGTATCAGTCATTCCTCTCTGGATCCCCACTTCACAGGTATGGGCTCACTGTCTGCTTTGAAACCCTTGGAAAGCAAAGGAGAACTCTGCTTGTCCAAAGGTCTGAGGGTGCTTTTTTTTCAAGTGTCAAAGGCAGGGAGGGAGGGTCCATCAGGTTGGATGGATGGATGGATGGATGGATGGATGGATGGATGGATGGATGGATGGATGGATGGATGAAGAGGACCAGACCCTTTTCTACACCATGTCCCTGCTCTGCCCTGAAGGTAGTTGCAGTCGTTTCCTCATGTGCATCCCAGTCAGAGGGAATGATGAGTTTTCAAAGTGCTCCAGGACTATCACTAAGGACCATGCATAGCTCTTACTGCAAGGTTAGATCTCTTCAGAGTAGGAAAAGAAAAGTGTGACCACTGTCTTTAATTACACCAGTGTAGTTGTCCCACTTGAGTTCACAGACTCATGGGTTCACGCTGCACCATGGAGAGTTTGGGAGCTGTTAGGACAACCATCTTATTGACTGACATAGCAAAGTACTGAATCACAGGATCTGGAGAGGTTTTCCAGAAGTGAAAGTGGTATTTAAGGAGAAACCTCTACCAGGAATCATCAGGTAGAGCCGATCCTATTCCCTGTGACCCCGTACCCAGCACGGTGTCCTGACCTCTGAGCTTCTCGTTGCAGACGGCATGCTGATGACAACCCAGCGAGTGGAGAGCGCCAGCAGCACCCTCACCAAACAGGTCACCAAAGAGTTTGTGAGCCGGACCGTGATGTCCAGTGGGACCCTCACCAAACAGATGGAGAGGCAGTTCTACGAGGCCTGAGCCAGGGCAGGCTGCCCGCCAGCGGGACATTTGCGTTCAGATGGCCAGGCTTTGTGGAATGCTCCAAGGGTGCTTCATCCAGATGCTGCTACGGTGTCTGGGCAGCTCCTCCTGTGGGCCAAGACCCTCCATTGCACGTCAAGTTCTTGACCTCTTCTTTGAAGCCCAGCGCACACAAAGCTCTGGCATGGTTGGGTCATCAGGTGTGTGCTCATCCTTCAGGGCTTGTTCACCCTGTCCTGCTCTGCAGAGACTCAGTGCTGCGGAGTCCACAGGGATGTCTTCCATGAACAATCACCGCTCACTCCAACCCCATTCTTCAGTGCCCATCCTCCAAATACACCCGCCAAAATTCGGGTGTCTCAATGGCTCCAGCCTCCCCAGATACATGGAACAGAATGATTTATTCTCACATCCTCAGTTTTGAGAGGATCCCTGCTGGCAACATCCTAATTTATAGAGGGTCACTGTTTCCACCTTTGTTCCAGGATCTCTGGCAACTTGCCTGTCCACTGGAGATGGTTGGTTTGTTCTCTGTGGGTTTTTTTATGAGAGCTCCAAGGTGGGGGTCGGGGGTAACCTATGCTTTCTTACTGCACCTATTTTGTGTCTATCTTTCGCTGCTAACATTTGGTACCACGATAGCAAAGTATAGCCTCTCATTTGTATAGCGTTACTCATGATGGCTTCTGATGCATTTTTTTTGCATACAATACTGTACAGTTTTCGTCATATATATAAATATATATAAATGTATTTTATTATTTTATAAAAAAAAAAGGAGGTGGATGAGATCTAAGCTGAATGCAGAGGCTACGCTGGGACTGTGGCTAATGAGAAACATGAATAACTGGAAGAAATTAGTTAAGGGCTTGATCCAAAGATCACTATAAACCCTGTGGCAAGCCTGTTGATGAGCTGGTGGGTTCTGCCTTGGGCCTTATATCCTCCAGCACCGGAGAGCCCAGCAGAAGGCTGGAAGTGGCCGGAGCCCCTCGCTGCACAGCATCCACCAGCCAAGCACCCTCCAGCTGCAGCACACGTGCAGGAGGGCTGGGGATGGCCTGAGCAGTGATGCCTGGAGATGGGACCAGTGCCTGGAATTTCTTACATGGCTGATCTGGACAGCATGAGATTTTGGGGCAGAAGATGTTGGGTATCTTTTAAAAGCCCTTTTGCCCAACAGCAACATCCATAAAGGGACCTGTAATCATTCAGTAAAGACAAGGGAAGAGCAGGCCTGGGAACAGCAGGCTCTCATCATCCTGAGCAAGTCTCTGAGCCTCTTTCAGCTCTCGGCTTTAGCTGTCCTCACACAGTGCTGGGTGCAGGGCTGAGCTGAGACCTTGCTGGGCCTCATTTCCTGGCTCTGGGCACGATGCCTGGTGTCTCAGTGCCCTCTGCCAACAAGAACAATTGGGCTGCATGTTCTGCTGAACAGCGCGTTTCCCTGGCATGCTTCAGCTGCACGGGAGCAGGCAAGGAGCCTGCTGAAAGCAAGAATCCCGCCTGAACCAGCAGCTGCCACTGTTCTGGATTAGAGCTTCCAACCAAAGCAGCAGCTGCCTCGTCTCCCTGGCAGCATTGCCTGCCTGATTTGATCTGACACTGGACCTTGGCTTTTTTGTTGTGGGTTGTTGTTGTTTTTTTTTTTCTTTGGACTCAGAAGACTTTCCGGCACTGACACCACCAAGAGCTTCCGCTCTTCTCTGGGCTGTTCATGTGAGTGGGACGCGTAGTACCTGTTCGAGCCAAAGATGCATATGGGTGAGTAAAGCCCCCAGGAGTCTCCACGACTGCAGCTGGATCTAGGTCAGTTTTGAACTTGGGTAAAAAGATACTTCACCAACCCCTTAGGTTTTACTGTGCCTTCAAGAAGCACTTAATTCTCCTGTGCAAGTACCAGTGGTGCTAACCTGCCTGCCTCCCAGTTCCCCTCACACCTGTGTGGTTGGGGTTTCCTCTCCAGCTGACATGTCTCCTTCTGCACATGGACTTCATGACCCTCTCTGTGCTTTGTGGTCCAGGCTAAAATGCTCAAAACTGCCTAAATTTTAACCAGACAATCCTGTTATCCAAGAGAAGAGCACAGCCCCTCAGCTGCTGCTTTCCAGGGTGTCACGCCATCCCCACGCGCACCTAGGCCCTGCCTCGCACTAGAACAGCGTCACTTTTTAATTTTCATCTGGTCATTAGGGCTGATGCTGTTCCAGCCTTTCTGAGGTGGATCCAGCAGCCTGCTCTGACAGTTGCTTTTTGATCAGATGCCTTCCTGTTGCACTCAATAAATGTTTGGGGTTTTGTTTTTCTCTACAGTCTGCCTCTTCCCTTTTCTTAAAAAAAAAAAAAATTAAAAATCGTCACCT